AGCCACTGTCCTCCCTTCTTGCCCCCCAATAATCTGTATACTGATTTCTAACTCCGTTGATGAGTTTTACTACTCCTTGAACTTCATATAAATGAAACTTCATTACCCAGGAGGTACACAGTATGAAGACACAACAGTTTATGTATCCATCTTTGATGGATAGTTGGGTTTCTAGTTTTGGTCCATTTTGGATCATATTGCCACAGACATTATTATTATCTGCCTTTTGCTAAACATACATAAGAGTTTCTGTCAGGGATATACCTAGGAGTGGAACTGCTGAGTCAGACGGTAAGTGTATATTCGGCATTAGCAGATATGTCAAAACGGTTTTCCAAAATGGTTATGACCCTCAGCATTATATGAGAGGTCCAGGTGTTCCACATCCTCATCCAGGTTTGGTATTATATATCTTTTTCATTGTAGACATTCTGACGAGTGTGTAGTGCTGTCTCATTCATTGCATTTGCATTTGCTGAGAGACTCATTGAATTGACCATTTCATACGTTTGTTGACCATTTGTATATCTTCCTTTATGAAGTACCTATTTAGGCCTTTTGCCTATTTTCTTGCCCTTTCTTATTGATTTGTAGGGTTCTTTACAGATTCTGGGTTCAATGTGGGATAGATGTATTGTAAATATCTTCTTCCACTCTGGCTTGCCTTTTCACTCACTTGGTAGTATCTTTCAATGAACACAGTTTCTTAATTTTGGTGTAGTACAAATTATTGCTTTTCCTTTAGTAATTTTAGTAATTTAATCATTTTCATGTCCTGTTTATTGCCTACCCATTGGTCATGAAGGTATTCTCCTACATTCTAGTCTTAATGTGTTGTTTTACCTATCACATTTTTAGATCTATACTCTATATGGAATTATTTTTCTGTTTAGTATAAAATGTAAAAGTCAAGATACATTCTTCCCCCTTAGGAATATCCAGGTGACCCAGCATCATTTTTTTGTAAAGACCGTCCTTTCTTACTGTAAGAGTGGTAATTTTCTTAACTCAGATCATGAGATCCCCCTTGCTCAAAATCCTTCAAAGATTTCCCACTGCACTTAGCATGAAATAGACATGTCTTACCATGGCTCTTTGCCTGGAATCTGCTTTCTTCTTAGCTTTCACCCCACTGTTCTCATTTTCTGCTCTCCACTGTGGACATGCTGGTCTCCTTGCTGTTCCTCAGTCTTTCAAATACATTGACTTGGGCAGTCATGCGTGGTGTTTGTTCTGCCCAGAGAGCATTCTTCCTCCACAAGTCAGCCTGAATCAATCCTCACTGCACCAAGTCTATGTGCAAATGCCCTTTCCAGGGGCACCTGGGTGGCTCAGTTGGTTAAGCGTCGGACTCTTGGTTTCAGCTCGTGTTGTGATCTCAGTGTGGAGTCTGCTTTGGATTTTTTCTCCCTTTCCCTCTGCCCTTCCCCACTCATGCGTACTCTCTCTCCCATATAAATAAATAAAATATTTTTTTTAAAAAAAAAGCCCTTTCCTCAGGAAGGATCACTAGCCACCCCACATAATACTAAGAATGAAGAATATATGAAAAATCCTCTGAACACGTATGATATTTATTAATGAACTGTTTCACAGTGACGTCATTGCCTACTAGGCGGCCTCTCCGTTCTGTTGTCGGGTTCATCAGATCTCACTATGTTTGGAAGTAGGACTGATCGTCATCTTTGTGACAGGCAGCAGCTCTTTTAAGCCAGTGTAACTGTTCTCTCTTCATTGTTTTTAGCTTTTGAATTTGAAGAAGTACTTTTGAAGACTTCCCTTTTAAGAACTATGAAAAAGCTTTGCTACCAAAAACCTTCACTACTCTGTGCTTAAATGAATGTTAATTTCTGAGGTTTGGAATTTTGTGGATTTGTCCCCTATTTTTCTTTTCTTTCCTCCTTTCTTTCTTTTGATGTTATTTGCTGTACGTGCTGCACATCCAGATTGTGTGTCAGAGGGACATGGATTATTTTTATGCTTTCTTAGTTATGACTGTTATCAGAGTGCCAGGCTGTCATTGCTTGCTCTCCTGAAATCAACTACTTCTAATTTCCAGTTAAACAAATCATTTTCAGTTTTTTCTGTTGTCTTTCTAGCCATTACAGTCATTTGGAATAAAAATTCAATTTCAGTGAAAAAAATGGGCTAAAGACCTAAATGTGAGACCTAAAATCATAAAACTCTTAAAAGAAAACATCAGCAGTAATCTCTTTGACATCAACTTTAGCAACATTTTTCTAGAATCTGTCTCCTCAGGCAAGGAAAACAAAAGCAAAAATAAACTATTGGGACTACACCAAAATAAAAAGCTCTTGCACAGTGAAGGAAACCACTAACAAAACAAAAAGGCAACCTAGTGAATGGGAGAAGATATTTGCAAATGATATATCTGATAAGGGATTAATATCCAAAATATAGAAAAAAACTTAGGCAATTCAACACCCCAAAAACAAATAATCTGATTAAAAGATGGGAGGAGGAGCTGAATAGACATTTTTTCCAAAGAAAACATACAGATGGCCAACGGACATATGGAAAGATGCTCAATATCACTAATTACGAGGGAAATACAAATAAAAACCACAGCAAGATATCCCCTTAAACCTCTCAGAATGGCTAGAATCAAGAAGACAAGAAATAAGTGTTGGCGAGGATGTAAAGAAGAACCTCATGCACTCTTGATGGGATCATAAATTTTGCAGCTATTATGAAAAACAGTATGGAGATTCTTCAAAAAATTAGAAATATATGATCCAGTAATTCCATTACTAGGTATTTACCCAAAGAAAATAAAAATACTAATTTAAAATGATATATACACCCCTATGTGTACTGTAGCATTATTTACAATTGCCAAGATATGGAAACAACCCAAGTGTCCATTGATGAATGAGCAGATAAAGATGTGGTATGTACACACACACACACACACACACACACACACACACACACTGGAATATTACTAAGCCATATAAAAAGAATGAAATCTTGCCATTTGTGACAACATGGATGGACCTCAAAGGTATTATGCTAAGTGAAATAAGTCAGATAAAGACAAATACCATATGATTTCACTTATATATGGAATCTAAAAACAAAACAAATGAATGAACAAAAAAAGAAACAGACTGATAAATACAAAGAACATAGTGTGCTTAACAGGGGGGAGTGGGCACAGTCGATAAAGAGGAGTGGGAGGTACAGAAAATAGAATGAATAATTTGTATAAGTCCTCTGAATGTGTATGATATTAATGAACTGTCTCCTCTATGATGTTGTGATTCCTTGAGGCAAGGGATTGTGTCTTCTTTTTGTAGATCTTATTTGCAGCATAATACTTTAGATCTCGAATAGGGTCCTAAGTATAACACATGTGATAATTCATTGTTTTCCCTATTTTGTCTACATTAGCTCCAGATAATTCAGACTCTAATATAAATATTTAATAATCTTATGCATTGTGGTGGAACATCAACTTTTTGTATTTTTTAAAAAGGGGGTAGTATACAGCATTATAGCCTGAAACTTTAAAATTCACTTTAGCTATTTTACATGGAAACAATGCATGCCTAAGTCCACGTGAATTTTATCTATGGCTAAAGAAATTAGAAGGTTCAGTGACTTTATATTCTCTTCTAACAGTAATACTAATTGTATTTCAAGTTTATAAAGTTGCATTTTTTTCTAAGAATTCTGCAATCTAGACGGTGATTCTTATTGACCTGGTTCCTATTATTGGGGTAACTTGGGGGCTGCATGCATATATAAAATTTGATTTGGGGGCAAGAGTTAGATTCATCTTTCATTTGTTTATTTGTTCATTCTTTGTTGGAAGCATTTATGTCCACTATTGGTTGCATTTGTTTTTATTGCCTTAAAGCCTTAAGCTATTGTTTGACATACACAATTCTTTTATTAATTGTAGAATGTCAGAGCAGAAAGAGACTTTCAAGATCACCTTATCCAGCTATAAAAGACATCACTGGGTCAGTTAACAGAACTGGAAAACTGTTGGTAGATTAAAGTATTGTCAATAATCAACTTCCTGAAGTTGATGGTACTATGGGCACATAGGAGAGTATCCTTATTCTTAGAAAAACACAATGAAGGGCGCCTGGGTGGCTCAGTTGGTTAAGCGACTGCCTTCGGCTCAGGTCATGATCCTGGAGTCCCAGGATTGAGTCCCACATCAGGCTTCCAGCTCAGCAGGGAGTCTGCTTCTCCCTCTGACCCTCTACCCTCTCATGCTCTCTCTCACTCTCTCTCTCAAATAAATAAATAAAATCTTTAAAAAAAAAAACCACAATGAAGTATTTAGGAATAAAGATGCTATGATGGTGTATTTACTTCCAAATGGTTCAGGGAAAGAAAAATGTGTGTGTGAGAGAGAGAGAGAGAGGGAAAGAGCGAGCGAGCTCGCTTGCATATGGAGAGAAAGAGTGAGCACAAGTGAGCGTAAGAGTCAATTACAAACCAAATGGGGCACAACATTAACATCAGGTAGATCTGGCAAAGGGTATATTAATCTTCTTTATACTATTCTTATGTTTCCTCTTAAATGTGAAATTCTCTCCACTTAAACAGTTTTAAAAAATCATCTCATACAGCCCTCTCAGGAAAAGCGTTCGGTCTTTGTGACCCAGAGGTTAAGTAACTTTCCCAGTCACCCTGAGAGTTAGAGACAAAACTTCTTCTAGCCCTGTGGACTGTGTTATGCTGTGCTGCCACCTTCTAGTAAACTGTCATCGAGCTCCAGCCAGATGCAGGAGCCAGTAATCCTGACTTGCGGTTGCATAGGACGCAGCCAAGCTTGCACATTAATGATGGAGCTTTGGGTTGCTTTTTAAAATATTTTTTTCCATTACCTGGTCAGCCTTACAACATCCAGCCCCTCTGTTACCTGGACTTCTTGTTACTAGATAGGCTGCCCATTGTAATTAGACATGCCTATATTTGCATTTTAACACTCAGTGGTTTGTTTTTCTCTTTCCTGATAGCTACTGCTTCTTGGGACACGTTTCTCATGCTGTGGAACTGCAAGCCACAAGCCAGGGCTTTCAGATATGTGGGTCACAAGGATGTTGTAACCAGCGTGCAGTTTTCCCCACTTGGAAACTTGTTGGCATCTGCTTCACGGGACAGAACTGTTAGACTCTGGATTCCTGATAAGTAAGAGAAACAAAGAAATACCTGATATGCTCTGGATATAGGAATGTGAAAGAAAATGAGCCTGGCTGTTCCTTCTGTACTTCTCGGGAATGCCTGAACTCCTGGTTACCTGCACTGCCCTTAGTCCGAGTCACATGCAAGACGTGTTGCCCTTGTCATGAAGTTAGCAAACGATTTCATACCCTTTTTTCCTCATCTTTAACTCATAATTATCTCTTCTATTTGAAACCTATTTCTAGCCATGGAAATATGCTTAAGGTTTTTTTTTTTTTTTTTTTTGGCAGCGGGATGGTTATCAGTCCCTTTATAAATCTATTGTAAACTTCAGATTGTCTCCCCAGAGAGATACACATTGACATGTATAACTGAAATTTTATAATTTATTAACCTACTATCGCCCATCTGTGGATCTTTTGGGGGCCTTTGGATATCTATTAATCCCTGAGCCAGAACTATTCTTTGGTGCATATCATTCATTATTGGGCTCCGGAATTTTCTGGCTAAAGAAAGTTTCTGACAAATGTATAAATCATTGCATTCCTATCCTGTTGTAACAAATCTCTCTATAAGAGGCTTTTTAAATCCTAGCTGATAGCTTATGTATTTTAAGCAATTATTGAGCCATGATTTTTTAAAAAGCTCTTGAACTCTTTTTTTTTGAACTCGTAATTATGTGTTTTCAAACACACATGAAAACAGAATGAATAGCACAACGACTTCTCCCCCATACTCTCCACCACCTCCAGCAGCTATCTTTATAACAGTTATCAGTGGCTCCATCCATGCCCTTCCTCTTTTTTTTTTAAGCTAGAGTATTTTTAGAACAACTCCCACACATCATATTATTTCCCCCCACAAACACCTCAGAGAATAGGAATTTGAGCATTTGCCTTGGCTCTACTGTGGCAGGACTTGATTCGTGGTACGTAACTGAACAGTCTCAGGCACCCCCACCTGTGGCACCTATGGACGTTCACAGGGCATTTTCCTGCCAGGAGGCACTTCTGTTTTCTGCCACCACCCAAAGGAAACTCCAGGCTGAGAAATCTGAACATCACCCTGACGGTAGTGAAAACTACTGAAGAGAGGCGACATGTTCTCATGACACTCCGGGTGGCAACGTACAGGGGAGCTGCGAGGGAGGGAGACTGGTTTGGGGTCCAAAAGGGAAAGTGTTTTCTAAAATCCTTAACTTTGAGGATTTAGGGCTAGTGGTTCTATGTCTTCAGCACAACAAGCTTCCGTCTGCCCTTACTAATTCAAGGAACTCTAAGGGACTAAACTATATACAAGGGTAGAAACGCTAAAAGCATACAATCATTAATTTGTATGGGCTAATCTAAGTGCCACAGTTGGGCTTGAGTAGATGTCTCTGGTTCCTCTTTCTAAATCGTAGCATCGTGGGGCCAGGGCAATCGTGGGTCATAGCAGTGGGATGGAGACTGATATATCAGTTATTGCTGTGTAACCATCCTCAAAATTTAACTTAATACAGTAACTGTCATTTCCCATAATTCTGTGGGTTATCTGGATGGTTCTTCTGCCCCATTTGATGTTGGCTGTTACTCAGCTTCTCTAAGCTGGCAGGCCCAGCACCTCACTCACGCCTGCGGCCTGGTGCTGGCTGTTGGCCGGGGCACCTGGTCCTCCATTTGCCCTCTCTGCACCCGGATAAGGACTTCCTTGTCCTGGCAGCTGGGTTCTAGGACAGTAAAAATGAAAGCTGCTGGTCCTTTGAAGGGCTAGGTCTGACACTTCTAGTGTCACTTCTGCCTCATTCTGTGGGTCAAAGTAAGTCACAACCAGCCCAGATTCAGAGGGAGGAGAAATCGGTAGATTCCCCCTCATGTGGGGAGGAGCGGCATGTGCATATAGGGATGAGAGGGAGTAGGCGGTCGTACTCGCCAACACCACACCTGGTGACTGGCAGGCTAGGGGAGAATAGTAGGAACAAGCATGGAAGCAGTTCCGGCCCGGAGTTCATCACAGTGGGCAGTCAAGAGAATGTGGGCAGAGAGCCAATGTCAAGGCGAGGTGAGGAGCTACAAAGCAGTTAAGCCACAGCACAGCAAGCCCAAGGCACTGCTATTGTGGTTTCTTGCGTCTTCCTGTTGAGCCCGGGTCCAGGGGTGGCACCAGAGTATAGCCGAGAGGCGGGCCCTTTAGAAAGAAGTCCAGCCGGATAGCCTGCTGGAGTGTGGAGTGTAGACCTAAAGAGCAGGGCAGATTCCGATGATTTGGACCGTCTCCTGGCTTCCTGCTCATAGCAGATGCCAGTCTTGTCTTTGTTTTCTCTAGGCTATACTCCTAACTGCCACTCATGGGAACTTTCCCTTGAAACTTCACTGGACTAGACCCTGAATGCTCCTTCCTATTTTTAAAAAAAAATTATCAATTTTAGGTTTTGCATGGTATAATATTGTATCAGGTGATGGAAATTTTTGACAAAGTCACTTTTACCTTCTACAGACCACTGGAGGGATAAGCCGGGATGGATCTAAGAACCTTAAGTAGTGACTCTTCCCAGTGGAATTCAACAAAATGTATTGAGCTATTTTTATATGCCTGATATTGTGCTAGATGCTGGTCTTATAGGGATGAACAAATCATCATTCCTGTCCTAAAAAACAAAAAAACACAAAAAACTCACGGCTTAATAGAAGAGAAACAGGTCTATTTTTTTTTAAGTACTGTATAATGTAATAAGCAAAATGGATGTAGCAGATAGGGAGCAATTAAGCCTGTTTGGGTCGGTCAAGGGGGGTTGGGGTGGAGGAAGTAATCTAGGCTAATCTAGCAAAGACAGAGGTGTGTTTGAAGTTCGGGGACTGTTCTGAGTCCAAAGTTCAGTGTAACGGCAGGATGCCTTGCTGAAGAGCTTGGGCATTGTACCTTTTCTTGGAGGGCAGCCAGTGACAAATTTATGCTGAGATATACATGCTTAGAATGACACTTTTAGGGAGGTAGCAAGCACGGTATGTAGGTGACTGGAGGGGGATAAAAGATTAGAGCAGGGAAACCAGTTAAGACGCTTTTGCGATAATCTCGGTGAAGGATATGGAGGGTGTATCTACCTTAATGTGAGCATAGCTGGGATAGAAAGAAGAGGTGTTGAAAGGATATTTGGGAAGTGATAGCAATATCACTATCACTGAATCTGTTTTTTGACCTACTGAATGTGGGAAGAGAAGGGGAACAGTTGAGTATCACTTCTCACTCTGCACATTCTGTTGCCCGATGTTTTTCAAACAGTTATACATAAATACGACTTTCTGAATGGAAAGACACTTTCTGAAGTGTCTTGGGAACTTTGAATGCTGACACAAAGTAGTACTTTCCAAATGCTACCTTTGAACTCCAGTGCTCTCTGCTAGCCTGCCCGTAACTATTTTAACTTTTTTTTTTTTTTTTTTCTGGTGCTTCTCCTTAAATGCCACACATTATTTTCCCCATCTTTTCTTTTCCTGTTCTATTTTTCTTACCCTAGTCAAGAAAAAGAAGCAGCATCTGAAATTTCAAAGTGTTGAGAACTAGAGTATGTTATTACCATGTGTCCTTTGTTTTGCTTAGGAGTATAAGATTGGGCCTGGCCTAAGCAAGGCCTTAGATATACCCCGAGGGTCTCAGTTCTCATTGCTGGTGGGTGAAAACACAAGTGGAAACAGGAAAGTCAGCTCACCTAGAGCTATGTTCTGTAGAGGGGAAAATGGAATAAGGGCATCTCTTCCCTCCCAACCTAGACTGCTGGTCCACACAAGTTCCACATGGCCCCAGTGTGAAAATACTTCCTTGGAGCTCTTCATTTCATCTGTCTTAGCTTTTCTAGGTTTCAGGTTCTTTAAACTATTTATTGCTCTTTCTAGAGGAACAACAGGAACTTAAAATTCATGGTCAAGATTTGTTCAAAATATTCTCTAGCTTCCAATTAAAACAAAAACAGCAAGTGCATTTCTGGGTGGGACCACCAGGATCTTTCCTGTTAAGTATCAGTTATGACTTTAATTAATAAAACCAGCTTTAAAGAGTGTTGATGAAGAAACTTTTCATACTTTTGTTAATTTTTTATAGGTGTTAAACTGTTTTATATGTTTCAAAGTCTGTATGCTGATTACATATTGATTATAGTGAAATCCAGTGTTATAAATATTAAACTGTTTATTTCCAGGAGAGGGAAATCCTCTGAATTTAAAGCTCATACAGCTCCAGTTCGAAGTGTAGACTTTTCAGCTGATGGCCAGTTTCTAGCTACAGCCTCTGAAGACAAATCCATCAAAGTCTGGAACATGTATCGCCAGCGTTTCTTATACTCCTTGTACCGACATACACACTGGGTACGCTGTGCCAAGTAAGTGTGAAGTTTTGTTGTAAGAGTTCCACATTTTTTCCTGCTGTAGTCCATATTTACCGCCCCCCGCCCTACCCCCAGAAAAGGGGATGAGGACAAACTCATTCATTCGTTCATTCAGCAAATATTTATTGTGTACCTGCTGTGTGCTGGGAAGAATAGGAAACAAAACCGTCAGAACCCCTCGCTGTCAGGAAGCTTACATTCTAGAAAGGGGAGAGAGACGATAAACAGGTAGGAAAATGGATTGGAAGGGGTGGGGGCTGCAGTGTTAAACAGAGACTGCCTCACAGAGAGGGTGGCCTTTGAGCTGAGACCTAACAGAGGGGGAGGGGCAAGGCTTGAATATATTTGGGAAAGGAATGTCCTGGATAGTGGAAACCAGTACAGAAGCGCTGGGTTGTGAGCCTGGAGGCTGTCGAGGACCAGCGAGAAGGCTGGTGTGGAGCAGAGTGTGGGGAAGGAACAGGAGAGGCACCGAGGGAGGTTGCAGCCAGGTCGGGGACAGCTGACGTGCACGCTGAGTGGGGTGAGGTGCCTCTGGAGTGTGTTCCTCTCTCTGACCACTGTTTTAGTGGGATTGCTCGGACTGCCGTGTGGAGAATGGACTGTCAAGCTCAGAGCAGAGGCAGGGGGCGTTAGGAGGTTGTGTGTAGTAGTTCACATCATGGCTTGGACTGGGGTGGTGGCAGTGGAGATTTCGAGGAGTGGCTGGGTTCTAGACGTAGCTTGGAGGTGCGCCCAACACCTCTTGCTGTCATGTGGGCTGTGACAGAGAGAGGAACTGAGAATGACCCCACGGTCTTCTGGGACGAGTGCTACTGTAGGCGTCCCTTTCTGTTCTTAAGACACACTGCTGAAGTACTTAAAATATTTCCCCAACTGCCCTGGGAGGATAGGGTTCTTGTTTTATTTTCCCAGTTTTGCAGATAAGGGAACTGAGTTTCAGAGTTAAAGTTAGAACTCGTCTAGTTGAAAGTGATAGAAACCCAAAGAAATTCTTTTTCTCCTCTCAAGGTGGTTAATTGGCTGATGTTTGGTGACCTTGGAGTGAAGAAGGGGGACACTAGGACCAGGGCCTCCAGTGCCCGCAGTGTCTCTCTGGGCCTCCCTCCACACCGCCTCTATTCTCTCAAACACCCTGCTGCTGAGGTCATTGCCAGCTGTGGGCAGAAGCCCTCACAGCTCTGACTGGACAGGAAAAGCGTGTCCTACCGCCAGTTAGAAAAATGCCGGGGGCAGCTCTCAGCCTGGCTCCTGTGTCCATCCCTTCTCCGGGCAGCGAGACCCTGTGGTTGTGTCAGGCCAGCCAGGCCCCTGACAGACCAGTTACTCGGGCCAGCTGGGGGGTGAGAGTACATACCAACCATGCGTTCTGGTGGTGGACAGGGGGATGTTAGTTCCCTTTCAGAAGAAGAGAACTAGCATCGTCATGGGCACTAGGGGAAGATCTGTGAAGCCTGCAGCCAGCCGACTTTGTGCATGCTGGATGAAGCAACATGCTGGGCAACCCCAGCCAGGATGTGGTGGAGGGGGAGAGGGAGGGGGAGCCCAGCTCTGTCTGTCTCGCCTTACAGCCCACGCGCCTGTTATCATGCTCTCAGTGGGACATTATTGGTCAGGTGTTGATTATAATCTAGGGTAATGAGTCTAAGGAAAATAAAAAAGACAGCAGGTCATACTTTTAGTTAATTTTTTTTTTTTTTCTTCTAAAGTTCTCAGCTACTTTTGGCTTTGGCCATCTCAGTCTTATTTAATATGCCACAGAGCTGTGTGGTCAAGAACATGGGCCTGGGACCTAAATATATAGGCTAAAATTCCAGCCCCACCACTTACTGGCTATGTGACCTTTTGGAAAGTTATCTAACTTTTCAGTGCCTTCATTTTCTTACCTGTAAAATTAGGATAATAATAACCTGCTGCACAGGTTGTCATGGTATTTAAATGAATAAATATACATGGAACATTTAGAATCATGCCTCCCACAGAGTAATCACTAGATAAATCTTAGCCATCCTTCTTCTCATCATCATTGGACATCACCATCTTGTTTCATTTTTAAAGATATTGTGGAGTTTGAGTTGATAGTTTTTTCCCACCTAAGGAGGTGACATGTGTGGTGGTCCCAAGAGGCTGGTCAAATCATTTGTATTTATTTATTAAATGATGTTGTGAACAGAGATCTATCGTCCAGCAGATCAGACCCGGAGAATAGACAGAGGCACAGGAGATTAGGCTGGGTACTGGGAGTCATTATTCAGCTCCCACTAGGACTGACTCTGGATAAGTTTGGCAAAGACACTGGTTTCTGTTACCTTCATCAGGGAGCTCATCAGAAGCAAAAACATTGAATGATAGCCGTTATTTATCTAGTGTGTCCTACGTGTCTCTGTTTCCTTCCTAAAATCATTTAAGGTGGTTTGTAATAACTGTAACACAATTGGAGGGAATGAAGAGACAATTCTATCTAGAACCATGTAACCTCGGTTAGTATAAATCTGGCAGGTTTAACCTGAGTTTCCTGCAGCCAAGGTATTAATGGGATGACGGTGGCTGACGTATTTTCATGTTCTAACAACAAAAAGGAATCCTATCAAGTTGTTCACATAAGACAAAATTTTTCCTGTAGTAAATTCTAGGAGGTATTTTATTTCCTGCCCTTGTACTGAATCATCTATGTATAATATACATGCAAAAGAAAAGGTATTGCTAGTGTAAGACAGAAGAACTTATGGAATGTTGAAAAGGTCGCCAGTAATGTAAAGTTTTGGTCTTCAGAATATTCCTTTAATGAGCATAGCCCTGCTATGTACCACATACCTATGCTGCGTGTTAGGTAGGTAGAGATGAAAACCACAGTCTGAGCCTCAAGGAGCTTTTATATTTTATAGTTCAATGGAAAAAAATGGATACAAAATAATTATAAACTAATGTGTCCTATGGGAAGATGATGCACAAGGCGATAAGGGAGTATGCAGTGGGGCACTGAACTAGACCTGCGTGAGGAAAAGCCAAGGCAGACATATCGGGCCCAGCACCCAGGGACAGGCAGGAGAACAGGCAGCGTGCGTCTTGTCAGATGGGGAGGGGTGGCAAGCCGTTCACAGTGGGAATCAGCGGGAGTAGGCACTATGGCCTGGGAAACTGTTTGGTGCTCTGGGAACATGAATTATTCAGCTGTTGCCAGGCACAGGAAGTAAAGTGGGATGCGAGGTGGAGTGGGGAGGGAGAGGGGAAGGCTCAGTGTCATGGATGTCATGAAAAGACTTAGGATTTCATCCTCCAGGTGACACGGAGACACCGTAGGGCTTGGAATGGGGAAGAAGCATGATCATTCCCGAGCTCTCTACTAATTGGTCTTACATCCCACAGCATGACTGCTTTAGAGGGTTGGCGTGAGCTAGGCTAAGACTCCTATGCCTCCCTGTGCCACATCATTACCCTTGGGCAAGTTAGTCTACGGCTCTCAGCCTCAGTGGGAGGTGAGGGTAATGAGGCTTCTCAAATGGACTGTGGTGAGGATGAGAAAGACTGTTCAGAACTGAGTGATGCCAGAAGCCTGCCATTCCTCCGTCTGGGCAGCATCAGTTAGGGAGAAACTTAGGAATTGGGGACGAGCCCCTAAAAATGTTCTCCCCCACCAGCTAGAGAGGAGGAGTCGATGGTGGAACCCTGCTTTTCTGTCTGCCTCACATCTGTTCTGTTTTCTGGTGACAGTGCCCAAGTTTTCCCTGAGGAACCAGCGCTCCCCCACAGTCCCTCTTTATGTTATGTGTATGCTGGCATGGCCTGATCTCCAGTCCCAGCAGAGGGCATTGAGCTCAGGCTTGCCATCTGGAACAGGGCACCTCCTGCCTACAGGAGTTAGTGAGTCTTGTTAGAATGGCAGGCTTTCCCTTGGGATTTCTGTGTTAGGCTTATTTCCTTTTTCTTCCATCCTTCCTTCCTTCCTTCCTTCTTCCTTTCTTTCAAGTTTATTTACTTATTTTAGTAATCTCTACACCCCACGTGGGGCTTGACCTCATGACCCTGAGATCAAGAGTCACATACTGTTCTGACGGAGCCAGCCAAGAGCCCCTTAGGCTTATCTAAACCTGTGGCTGCTGAGGGACACCATGGGCAAAGAGCTGACCTGACAGTGATGCTGACTCAGGGGGCAGCAGAGCTGTAAGCCGGAGAAAGAAAGAATTGCTATCTAATTACATGGTGTGGTTTCTGGATACAGTCATACCTGGTTTTATTAACATGTGTTTGTGTGTGTGCATGTATGTGTGTTTAAGAAATGGGCCTTGAAAATTCTCACTTTTTTTAAAGGCACTTTCTGTAAGATGTGATTGTGGAACAGTGTTTTGGAAAAGTGGGAGATATTGCTGAATCCAGTGATATGCACTCAAGACACCTAAGTGTTCCTCTCTACAGACTTGCCTTCATTCCCGACCCCCCACCCACCACTGCTCTCCTGCCTCCACCAAGACCTTGTGAAATGCAGATCTGGTCCTACTGCTCCTCAGGTTAAAAACTACCTGGCATGTCTGCTCTGCCTTCCTATTACAGCCTTGTCTTTTGTCCCTGTCACCATCCCCTTCTTGCAGCTATACAGTCCTGTGTGCAATGTTCTGTTATGTCCTGTGCCTTTTCCACATGCTGCCGGCCCTGCCTGGAAAGCCCCGTGAATCCACCCTCCCTCACAGTGCTCTACATCTCTCCCTCCAGGAAATGTTTCTGACTCTCCCAGGCCCAGCTTATCATAAGTCCTCTATGCCACTGCATTGTCCTGTTTACGAGATCTGTCTGCTTCGGCCTCTCTTCCCTGTCAGACTTTGAATTACAAGTATTTTGTTTTATTTTTTTATTTTTTTGAAGATTTTATTTATTTATTTATTTGAGAGACAGAGAATGAGAGAGAGCGGGCACATGAGAGGGGGGAGGGTCAGAGGGAGAAGCAGACTCCCTGCCGAGCAGGGAACCCGATGCGGGACTCGATCCAGGGACTCCAGGAT